AGTTCTCACCTACATCGTCCACCTGGGACGACTCGGGAACTCAACTCCTACCCCGGGCAGCTCACCCATCCCCCTATGCCCAGGGGAAAGGTTTCAAGCCGTTTGACAGCAGATGCAGGCTGTCAAAACGGCTTTTACGCAGAAACAGGCGGGAGGCAGCAACAGCTGCGTCCAACGGAGTAGCCTGCCACCGGAAGTCCCCAACGTTTTTCATTATTGTTAAAAATATGAATCAGAGTCAGTTTTTGCTTATTGTAGTTGAAGTGGTTCTTAATGAGTGTTATTTCTAAGCCAAGATCAGGTTAACATCAGTATTTACATTCTGTGTAAATCTGAAATGGAAATAATTTCTAAATGACATTAAAAAAAATAGAAAAAATCTGAGGTCATACAAAATCTGGTAAGATGGTTTGGAGGCATTGCAACCATCCTGGCTCTCCTTGACTTCTCAGAAGCCTTCAATACCATTGAACTTGGTATCATTTGGGGACAACTATGAACTTTGGACTGAGTGCACAGTTCTGCACTAGATTAGCTTCTTTTTCCAAGGCTGTTGGTATTGATAGGGAGTGAGAGATCTATTCTCTAGCCACTCTCTTACAGCATACCACAGGGCTGGGTACTCTTTCCACTCCTATTTAACATCTACATGAAGCCACTGGGTAAGATCATCTGTCACCATGGGTCAAAATATCATCAATATGCTGAATGTTTATGGAGATTCTCAGTCATCCAGGACATGGTTGTCCCAAAGATACTTTTCAAAAGGCAACTAGACTTCATTTCCCCCCCCTTCACTTCTCATACAAGAAGTTTCTTGAATTCTGACTAACTGGTAAGGAATAGAAGATAAAATCCTTCTATGCTGTCACAACCCTCTCAGGTGTCTAGAAGCTGTAGGGGCCTGGACGGAGGGCAATGGGTTATGACTAAACCCTGGCAAGAACGAGTGACTTTGGGTGCATGGAGCTTCAAGATGCATGTCTTTGACATTTTTATCATGTCCAGAACCGGTTAGCAACTTAGGGGTTCTCTTGGACTCACGACCTCTGCTCAGGAAAGCCTAGGAAAGCCTTTGTACAGCTTTGGTTAGTGCATCAGCTGCAGCTGTTCCTGGATCAGGATTCCCTATATTCAGTTACTCAAGCCTTCATCTGGATTACTGCAATGCACTTTACATGGGGCTATCCTTGACATGTATTCAGAACTTCAACTGGTACAAGGTGTGGCAGCACTAGCAGTCTTTGGGGGCCGGTGGAATGACCTATGTTACACTAAGGCTTTTTGAACTGCACTTGCTGGTGGTTTGCTTCCGGGTGCAGTTCAAGGTGTTGGTTGTGACCTTTATGGCATAGGTCCAGAAATTTGATGAATCATCTCATCTCACTAAGATAAACTGCTTTATTCATGTCAGCAAGGAGACCGGCTGCAGATCCCATTGGTCAAAGAACTCTGTTTCACAGTATCCAGGAAAAAAGCCTTGTCTGCTATAGTGCCAGCCCTCTGGAACATCCTGCCCCCTCCCCAGGGTGAGGTTTACCTCCACACTCCTATCTTTCTGCAAGGGCCTGAAGACCTGGCTCTGCCAGTTGGCCTGGGGACCCAATAGGGGAATGTATCATTGGAGGTGGCTGCTAGACTAACTAGCTGACCTCACCTCGCCCCTGCACTTCCTGTTCTCCCTTCGCTCAACTTTTTAATGTTGTATTATTGTACTTCCACTGTTTGTTTTTATCATTTTATTCCTTTACTATTGTTATTTTTACATTTTTTTTATCATTTTTCCATTTTATTGTTGTAAGCTGCCCAGAGTAGCCCCATAGCAAGATGGGCAGCAAATAATTTAATAAACAAACAAATAAAATAATAGTAATTGTATGTATTTTTGCTTTGGGATTTTTTTATCTTGTTACTATGAAGCAGATGCAAATATATTTGTTATTATATTACCTTGTTTTTATATTCTTTCATTTCAACCTGTAAATTATCCATAAATTCTCCTAAGCTTTCATTAAATTTTATAACATAATCATCCTTCATTTTTTCACAGATAAGGATAGTTGATTGAAGATTCTGGAGGGTTCTCACAACAGTTTGATAAAGAGCAAGCTGCTTAAGTGGGAGAAAGATGTTATAATCACTTGCAATGAAGTGGAGCTCAGAAAGATACTTATATTCAATCTTTATGTTTGGTAGTTTTGAGGAAATTTCCTGAAGATATAGCAAATGTTCAACAAATCCATCCACTGTTACTAGTTCTTTGTTCAATTTTGCTACCGCTGATTGGGTGACCTAAAAGTAATGAAATAGTAAATATTTAAAAATGTATTCAAAGATACATTGAGATTAAATATTTGCAAAATTAAGAAAGCATGATACAGGATCTTTTGGTTGGATAATGAGTTTGTAAACTTTTATTGATTAATGAAATTTATATAGAGTGATATATTCAATGAAAATTTGTTTTAGAAAGGTTTTAATGAGACTATAATAATATAAATAGATAGATGTTAGTTTATCTTTAATTATATAACTTGGATGAAATGTTACATTAGTGAATGAACTGGTTTTAGAAAGATATTGATTTGATTATATGAATGGAGTTAATTAAGCTTAAGTTTAAATGTTTGAAGAAATATAGGTTTTTATAGATTAAATTTTTTTTATTGATTAATGCAGTTGATGGTTAGACATAGTAATTAATGAATTTATTTGAAAATGTATTAATTTGATCATAATATTCTATTTAGATAGAGAGGGAAATTTTAAAGAAATAATGGGTATATATTTACTATATTACTGTTTGTTTGTTTTTAAAAAATGGATCACCATGTTTCCACGTGGGTTCTTAAGCTGTGTTGGTGTAAAATGGAAAACTAATAAAAATTGTTTTGGGGAAAATGTATTCAAAGATGTATAAAATACATATCCAAAGATATATAATTATTCTTGTTGTGGTAGTATCCCAACTATTTGGAAAACCTACTGAAACTTTTGATCACAACTGAAATACAGTTTATTACTTTATTTACTAATTACTCCAACTGTTACATATTATGAGAAGTGTAGATACCCACTATGCATAAATCAAATTAAAACAGTAACAATAAAATAATAAAATTAAAACAATGACATTAATTATGACATAGAATATGATTACATCTATACTACACTTACACTTTAGGAAACACAGATCAGGTTTAAACAAATATTCTATTAGTAGAAAGAAGTATAAGACAACATTTCAGCCCCCAAGTCCTGCTGGAATGATTAAGTTTCTGTAGCTTTTCTAAATTTCAGTACTGCCAAGATCATATGAATCTCTGGGAAATGTTAGAGAAGAAATCTTTTTCAGAAAGAAAGAATTTGTAGTATACAGAAAAATGCTTTCCTATCAGCATCAGAAGTTTAGCCCTGCAATACTAAAACTGATAGCTAATTGAGAGCTGGTACATAGATGACAATTATGTCATAATAAAAATGGACCAACTAGAGGACACATATGAAATCATCAACAACATCTTCAAATGAACAAAATTCATTAGGGGAAAAGAAATTGCAAATTAGAAACATAGCCTATTGTAAAACCACTCATGCCAACCAAGTGTTCCACTACCAAAGTAACAACCCAATCTCACCCAAGGAATCTGTGTAAGAACACTATTTAGATGAGCACAAACACAATGCAGCAACCCTGAACATCAGAAAGAAGAACTAGATCATCTATACAACATCTTCCAATAAAATGAATATCAATACAACTTCATCAAAAAGTGCTTAATCATTCAACCCAGTATAGCACAACCAATACAAACTGTGAAAATGATAACATTGTCATACATCAAAGACATTTCAGAAACTATCAACAGCTTATTACAACCACATAGCATCATTCTAGCACGCAAACCAATTAAAGCCCTCGAAAACAAACTAAAAGACCCAGCAGCCCCAGAAGAAAAAACAGGAGTTGCCTACAACATATAGTATAAGGACTGCAACAGTTACTATGTAGGACAAACAGGCAGCAGACTAGCAGAACACATCTATGAACACCAACTAGCAATCATAAGACATGATGAAAACTCATTAATTTCACAATACATGAACAGACTTAATCATAGTTTCAACTGGGAAAATGTAGGACCAAACCAATTCCAAAAACACTAAAGAATTCCTGGAAGCCTAGCACTCAGACAAATCAACCATCAACAGGCACATAGAGATACACAACATGTGCATACCATTCAAAAGATACAATCAAAAAAGAAACAAAGGACCAAAACTCCTCTTTACCAGCAATCAACACCCAGATGTGCAGAGATTAATATCAAGATTAACATTAGACCAACAATCAAGAACCAAATAATACCCTAAACTAGGAATTACCAGTACAGACAAACAAGCTGTCAGTAAACAATAGCCCAATCAAGGAACCACTAAGACCACTCCCACCAACACTGACAGGGCAGGCCACTAATATATAAAATGAGAGCAAACCCTACTCCCTACTGATAATGTTACCTAATTTGGTAATGAAACATCTGCAAAACAACAACAAAGCGCAGAGCACCAAGGACCCCGCACTGATAATTAATCACATCACAGACAATTTTGTTGACCCTTTGTTCTGACATTACAAAAAACCCAAGATACATTTTTTGTACTGACCATCATAAGTCCAAACTATTGAAATATTTTTTATGTTTATACAATAAAATAAAGCACAAAAAGTAAGAATCATCAAAATCATCTTCCTACGTAGTTATAAAACTGTAATTATTGTGACTTTTAACTAGATGAAACAGTGCATTATAGGGCAACAATTTGAGAGTTTGGAAAAAATTCAGAGAAGAGCAACTAAGGTAATCAAAGGCCTGGAGACTAAAACATACAAAGAACGGCTGCAGGATTTGGGTCTGGATAGTCTAAAGAAAATAGGGAAGACATGATAGCAGTATTCCAGTATTTGAGGGGCTGCCACAAAGAATAGGGGGTCACGTTATTCACCAAAGCACCAGAGGACAGAACAAGAAACAATGGTTGAAAACTGAACAAAGAGAGAAGCAACCTAGAATTCCTGAAATCGTGGGCACTCCATCACTGGAGACTTTTAAGAAGAGGCTAGACAGTCACTTGTCTGAGATGGTATAGGTTCTCCTGCTTGAGTGGGGGGCTGGATTAAAAGACCTCCAACAGCAGCAGCGCCAGAGAGGCCTGGGGGAAAGTCAGCTGGAGCTGCAGTGTTGCCAGGGCTCTGCTGAGGACCCAGGATCGGTACACACAGCTCCAGCTGATTGGCACTTCCGGTAGCCTCTAATATCACCAGAAGCAGCAGACAGGCCTTGGGGTATCTGAGTCAGCTGGAGCTGCAGAGACCTGAGAATTGGGGCAGTTCCAGCTGATCAGCATTGTGTGCAATGGCCAGCCGAGGAGTGGTGACTGCATGGGAGAGTGAGCCTGGGATAGTGACTGACACTGGAACTCTCCCTGAGCACCTGGAAGAGAAAAGGAGGAGGAGGGAAAGAGAGGAGAGGTTATAAAAGGAGGAGGTTTTGGCAGAAGAAAAAGAGAGAAAAAGATGACAGGGAAAGCAAAGGGGATGGAGAAAGAGAGGAGAGGCTTCTGTGAGAGAAGCAGTGACAAGAAAGAGAGAAGAAGAGGAGGAGAGGCTTCTGTGAGAGAAGCAGAGGGATCAACAAAGGAGTAGGCTGTGAAAGAGAGAGAGAGGAGAAGGAGAGAGGAAGAAGGGCCGACCAGCTACCTGACCACCAAGGTAGTGGTACATATTAATAAATATGGATAAATTTGTTATACGTTCGTCAGTGCAAAGGGGAAGTGATTCAGCAAAGGAACAGCCACTGAAGAAATTAAAACTGGTACTTTTTTCCCCTTTTTTTGGTCATCATGTTTTTAACACCTTGCTAAGCATTGGTGGTACTCGAATATTGTTATGTCCTAAAAGTGGTACAATCTATGAAAAGGTTGAAAAGCACTGCACTAGGGTTTCATATGCACTCTCACTATCCCATGGATTTCTAATTTCATAGAAAATTATCTGGGACCCAGTGAAGTTGATATACCATTTCCCATCTTAGTTTAGCTCAAAATTTGAATCTGCCTGACTACCCACTACTCTTCCCTCTGTCCACATTTCACTCTAATCTTCTGCAATAATTTATCAAAATGCAACAATCTATTGGCTATCTCATTTCAATTGCAATATAACCAAACAATTTTTTTATCTCCAATGCAGCTAATGATATCTTCCATATAATGCACTTTGATCTAAACATTTGTAGTGGAATAGTTGGAATAGAAATCTAAGAAATTAATTATAAATAAAAAAATATATACTTACTTCAACAAGATGTACATTCTTTTTATCAATTGCTAAATAAAAACAAGTATGAATAATGTCAAGCAGACCCTCAAAATATGGCAGGCAGTCAGTCTGAAAGTTCAAACTGTTGACTCTAAACAGAGAGATACGTTTCTCAATAAGCATACATACAATCTCCTTTACATCAGCTGTATAATTTTCTAGAATATTTCTAAACTCCTTTGTAGTCATCTCTCTTTCCAATGCTGTTATTTTGTCTTTTGTATATTTTGCTTTATCTACCATACTGCAATATTCCATAAAGTTTCTGCTGTAAGATTCTACTCGGGCCAGTGAAGAACTCTGAAGAGAAAGAAGGTCCAGAATCTAAAAAATTTAAATGGAAACAAATTATGGCATTCACATTAGAATGGTGGAGATTTTCTCTGATTAGCTTTTAGTTTTGTAGGAACTATATTCTAAGTATACATAACTTATTAACTTTAACCCTATGTAAATAAATTGTACAAATAACATTTCCTGCTAACTTGAGCCTCAGAACTAGAAGAATTCTGCCAGAGTTTATAACCTGAATAAAAAAGCCAAGGACATAAATCTTGTGCACAAGACTGAAGAAATCTACATGCTCTTGATCCTTAAGTTCAATTATTGTAAATTTTATACAATTCCAAAGTGCACTATTATTAACAAGATAAACAAAATCTTAAACATAAATAGGAATAGCTAGATTTCAGTTAATGGGATTCATGGGATGGGTGGTATTTTAATGCTTGTTCTTGTCATGGTCCTTGGCTGCCACAAGTATATTTGCAATTGTGGCAAATATCTGTAGCTCGAGTGTAGGATGAGGGTGAAGGTTCATTTTCAGAGCTTGTGGGTTGGTTCTTGAACATTTCATTACCAGACTAGGTAATATCTTCAGCAGAGTTTAGAGGATGTCAGTATCAATGTTCTGTTTAAAAGGGCTTCAGGTGTAGGTGTGTCAAGTGAGGGTCTGTGATGGGTCTTGTGATGGATTAGGTGTGAATCATCAGTGAGTTTTGGGATGGGTCTTGTGATGGCAAGGTTATATTAGGTGAGGGTCATTGGGAGGTGAACTACTGCTGGGAGTGGGAGCTTGTGTGGGTTGGTTGAGGGTCGGTGTTGTCTCTGGTTGGCTATGCAGTTGGTTTGGATTCTGAGGGGTTCGTAGGCTGTAGATCAATGTGTCTGTTGATGGAATTGCTTGTGAAGTACCAGGCTTCGATAAACTCACGAGCGTGGTGGGTGGTAACGTGGCCGATGATTTTTCTGTTGCTCCAATTGAACTGGTTGGTGGCGGTGTGGGTAGAGATTAAGGATTTGGTATTGTGGCATTTGACTGCTAGCCGCTGTTTGTGGATCCTGTTTTTTAATTGACGTGATTTTTGTTCCATGTAGAATTGGTTGCAATGGTTACAGTTGATTGTATAGATTACATTGTTTTTTTTCATCCTTCTGTGTCTTGTCTTTGGTTCTGGATAATTCCTGGCATAGTTTGGCTGTGGGTTTGTGGGCCATTGCTATTCCTAGGGGGTGAAGAATTCTGGCTTTCATTTCTGACACCCATTTTGTATATGGTAGGGTTAGTTTTTGCATGGTGGTTGGCTGTGTGGTGTATTGCGGTTTGGGTAGGATGCTATGTGTCAGAACATGAAGGAATTAGATTTTGGAAAATAGTTTGATGGAAACAGTAGATTCCAAAAAAGATCTCTTAAGAGTTCTGATAATTAAGATTTACAAGGAGATTGAAGTATTAATACAAAATGTCTAGTGTTAATCTGATAAACCTATATATAAGGGAAATGGGGGAAAGAATATTTCTTTTGCTCTTTTGATATAAAGAAAATGAAGCTTTATAAAGAAGGGTGAGCTATATCTGTTGATTGCTTTGAAAATGACTACTTATCAATTTCTTACACTGAAATCTATGCATATTTATTTTTTTCACATTTTCTGCTTAGAAATTTTGTTCAGCCAAATTTTGGTAGCTTCAGTTTTAGGAGGCCACAACAAAAGGATTTCAAAGATTATATGTAGCCCATTGTCCATGGTTTGAATCAATATAAAGATAAGAAAAAAATATATATTTGGCACCAAACTGTTACCCTCATATAGTACAACGTCTGAAGCATACATTGTTTTGGTAATCTGGATCTGTCCCAAGAATGAGATCACAGTTTGGCCATGTTGATTGATAATGTCTTGGTTCAAAATCTGTGTAATCTTCACATTGCTGCATTATTTTATGTAAAGACTGATCAATGAAGATTGAAAGCCGAGAATCCTGAGAAAATGGTGTAACTTGATCTAATGAAAAATAATTTAAAAATATTTTCAAAGTTAGAATTCATTGTAAAACAATTTTTTTTAATTGAAAATTGCTGGCTGAGCACCCAGGATGGTAAATTCCCTCAGGACTTTTAACTATTATAACTGAAAATGTAGATGTAACAGAAATATCAATTCAGTTTTTTCCAATAATTCTCATATATTTGAAGGTCTAGATTTAATAATTCACTGGAATATACAAAGGCTTGTAGTGCCTTTTTCTTAATGTCCTAGGCTTCAACTTATTAATTTGGGGCTGAAGCTTGGCAAATTCCTGCAAGTGATTATACTTTATGCAGGCTTTAGAAGATCTGGAACATTTAAAAATAAAAGTTTTTTTTAATACTGACCAGGATGTTTTTGGAACAGATATTTTTAAATAAAACTTTTATACAGATTTTTTGAAAACTACACATTTTCTATTAAAGACTATGAACTACATTAGCAAACAGAAGCACTGTCCCACACATAGTCAAATGCACTGTCATATGTTTTAAATTAAGAAAGCAATCTTCTGCACATTTACTTAAAATAAAACTCAACTGAACACAATGGTACTTGCTTTTAAATAAATATGTATATGGTCATATATGACCCAGACCCAAAGGCAGTTGCAAAGTTTTCTTGTACTTGCAAATTTCTACAGACAATTAATTCCTACTTTTACGCAGATTGTTTTACCCATAACCAATTTTTAAAAATGGGAAAAGCAACGAAACCTAGACCCAATCAGCCATTAGGTTGGACCCTTGAATGTCAAGCAGCCTTTGAAAACCGAAAAAGACTTTTTTGCTGCAGAACCACTGTTAAGGCACCCAAATCCAGAGAAGCCTTTCATAATTCAAGTGGATGTTAGTGATGTGGCAGTGGGGGCAGTATTGCTACAAAAAAATGAGAACAGGGAGTTATAATCATGTGCATATACTTCTTGAAAGTTATCAGATGCTGAGAGAAGGTGTGGGCTATGTGGGAAAAGGAAGCTTTTGCAGTTTGCTGTGCTCTCTTAACGTGGAGACAATTCCTGAAGGTAGTAAAATCCCATTTGAAGTGTGGACAGATCATAAAAACTTAGAGGCATTAAAGACTCAAGGAAATTGTCTCCAAAGCAAGTCAGGTGGGCTCAATATTTTAACTGATTTAATTTCAGTTTCCCAAAGGGAAACGGTTTTTGGCTGATGCTCTTTCACGTATGCCTCAATACAAAAGTACCAAGGAAGTGGTAATTTCTATAAACCCTTCTAGCCAGCTCGCGACGCCAGTGCAAAGGGTTCAGTGCAGGGGAATACCACCCAGGTTAATGTTACATCCCCTGAGGCAAAAGTTTAAGGAAGTTTCAAAATAAGATAATTGGTTTCAGAACCATAAAAATGATCTAATGATAAAAAAGATATGGCATGAAAAGAAACCAAAGTGTATGTCCCAGATAGCTAAAGGACCTTAGTTTAAGCCGAGCACATATGCAAAAGCAGCTGGAAATTTTGGGTTTGTAAAAATCCTTCATCTTGTGAAAAGAAAATTTTGGTGGCTAAAAATGAAAAAAGATATAAAAGAATACAGGTAATCCCCGAGTTACGAGCGTTCACTTAACACTTGTTCGAAGTTACACAATAAGCGCCCCCTAGTGTTTTTGAGAAAATCCCAAAATTATGAATGTTGCAGCACCACGGCAGTTGTTCACCCTTACAAATAACTGCAGAGGCTCTACAACATTCACCCTATCTCCCCTGCTCCCAACTACTGCTTCTCCCTCCCTTCCTGCTGCACCAGACTCACCTTGAGAAGATCTGTCTCCTCTCTGCCGCGATTTCTGCCTTTGAGGGAGAGGAGAGACAATGGAAGCTCCTCGATGCCATATCACACGAGTTCAGGCACACATCTGCTTTTGCAGAGAATGGGTACCTGAACTCTCGCGAGATCATGGACCCCAGAAACTTTCATTTTTGGTGCAAACTCTGTGCCTGTCTCCTGCTCCTCCCCAACTCCTTTCCACCAACCACCGGAACATTTTTTATCCAAACGGAGACCTTGGGGAAATGGGGAACTTCATCTGTGAGCAAATGGGGTGGTTGAAAACCAGTGAATCATTGCATTTTCAAGTGTTGCATTTGCACACAGACAGCTCCCCATCCCCCCGTTTGAATAAAAGGTGTTTAAGCACCTAGGGACACTTGGAAACACAGTGAATCACTGTTTTTTTAATAGCCCCATAGGCGCTGAAACATTTTTTATCTGAACAGAGACCTGACAGAGATTGGAAGCTCCATATGACTGCCAATGGGGCACTTCAGAAAGGGAGCGTTCTGTGGCTGAATGAATGAATGCAATGATAGAACAATATATAAGATACTATGTAAATTATCAACAGAATGATAGGGCAGACTCATTGCCATTTGCTGAAGTAGCGTACAATAATGCGGTGCCCAGCAGTACCGGTTTCACACTTTTTAAAATGACTGCAGGGATTGAATATGTGACTATGCCTGAGATCCCTCAAGACTTTCTCTCTTCCACAACATTAACCAATTGGATGGATAATATAAAAAGACATGGCCAGGGGTACGCAAAGCTCTAGAGCAGACATGTCAAACACAAGGCCCGGGGGCCAGATGCGGCCCGCAAAGTGGTTTCATGTGGCCTGTGTAGCCATCCTGGAAACAGTGATGGAACGGCCCCTGCTGTCTTGGCCCTGGCTGTGTTTCTTGCCTGTTTTTCTCCCTCCCTCATCTCAAATATTTTCCCACCACTCTGTACTTAGGAAGGAAGGAAGGAAAGAAGGAAAGAAGGAAAGGAGAGGGAGGGTCTGAGGGAAGTCCTGCCTTAGTCTGATCCTGCTGCCCTTTTACCATCCCCTTGCCCCCTCCTCCTGGCCTATCCTGGGGTCTCCTATCCTATTGCTAAGGAAGCTTTGGATACAAAGCCGAGTCTCCTCCAATGGAGAGGGAATGGCCCTCCCTCTGACTTTGCCCTCGTACCCATCATGAGCAACCTGGCTAAGGAGAGCAAACACAGCAGCAGCAGCCTTGAGGAGGAGGTAAGTGCAGCTGGGCGCCCCCTTGGGGAAGTGGGGCTGGGCTTGGTGCCGTGGGTGCTCGAGGGCCAGGCTGGGCATTTGACCTCTGCTGCCCAGGGCTCCAGGCAGTCCGCACCACCATCCAGCCCCCTCACATGGCCTGAGAGGAATGGTGAGGCTCTGTTCTGTCCCCGTCTGACACACACACCCAAACAGCCAGCCGAGGGTTAAATAACTTCTCCACACTCCACGCCACAGATAAGAAACTTGGCAGCAGC